TTTTTTTTCTAGTTCTGTGAAATATAGTGTTGGAATTTCAATTGGCACTGCATTGAATGTGTATAGCAGTTTTGGTAGTATGGCCATTTTCACTATGTTGATTCTTCCTACCCAGGAGCAGGGGATGTCTTTCCATTTTTTTATATCCTCTTCAATTTCTTTTTTCAGAGTGCTGTAGTTTTCAGTGTACAGATCTTTTGTTTCTTTTGTTAGATTGATTCCTAGACACTTCATTTTTTGGGATGCTATTGTAAAAGGAATTTTTTCCCCTTATTTCTCTTTCCATGTGTCTGTTATTTGTGTATAAGAAGGCTATTGATTTTTGGGTATTCACCTTATATCCAGATACTCTACTGAATCTGTCAGTTAAGTCTAGAAGTTTTTTGGTGGAGTTTTTTGGATCTTCAATGTAGAGTATCATATCATCAGCAAATAATGATAGTTTAACTTCTTCCTTTCCTATCTTTATTGCTTTAATTTCTTTCCGTTGTCTAATTGCTGTGGTTAATGCAGTGAACACTTTTTATGTTAACTGCACTCTGTCCTGTTTCTTCATTGACTCCAATCAGTCTTATGTTATTCTTTGAGTCTTCTAGCAGCTGTGGATTAATCTCTCATGGTCCCTTACTATTTTTTAGAGACTTTTTTCTTTTCCTGACCACTAATTACAATCCTATCTTCTTTATCTGAAATTCTGTCCTTGCATTGGCTCATTCTGCTGTGTAAACTTTCAATGGAGTTTTTAATCTCCTGGAGATCTGTTTGCATCTGTTTTGTGGATTCCATTTGTTTCCTATGTTGGGATTCCATCGTGTTTCTGAGCTCCTCTATTTTTTTTTATCCATTTCTGCTTTACATTTATTAATCATGTCTTGTACTATGGGCAAAATCTCTGTTATCTGATAAATTATTTCTGATTTCATTTTTTCCAGGTCCTGTTTTGTGGCCAGTTCAGGAGTCCAGGTAGTTGAGTATCAGATTGTTCCATCTTGCTACTTTTGGGGTTCTCTTAGGTGATCCAAAAGTCTGGTTTTGAGACTCATTTCCATGTCTTCTCATTTCACAAATGCAGTCTGCTGTGCCTTTGTTGAGGAGACTTTTCACTCATCCAGTGGTCTTTAATTAGCAGCAGGCCACCAAGCAAGCTTTACTCTGCTGCTCCCCAGTACACCAATTCCTGGGTATAGAATGGCAGCCTTTTATATCCCTGAGCTGACCTGTTGTCTGGGCAGGATTCTGGCTGGGGCCTGTGCACACTTAGCATGGCATCTAGGTGTGCCTTTCACTGGGGCCCTTATGCAGCTGGTTGTTGGGGGGGGCTTTGATTGGGGGCTGTGTAACCCAGTTCCTGTTGTGCATGTAGGCTTTTGGCTAGGGTCTCCAGGAACTTTTCAGTGGTATTGGGGCGAGCCTTTGTCTGTTGCTTGTGTCTGTGTAGTTCTTTTCCGGGTGATCTCTTGGCTGTGGCCCATGGTATGGTGGGACTCTGGATGAAGCCTGTGCAACTCTTTTCTACATGGGTTATGGCTTGGGCACGTGTGCCCCCACTTCTGGGATCAGGGTGGGGTGGGGCCCTAGCTGGGACCCACCTGCAGCCATGCCACTCTGGCCCACACAGCTGCTCCCTGGAGTGTGCACACATTTACTGATGGTATGGGGAATTCTGAAGCTATTCTAGATATTAAAAATAACTTAACCACCAACAGGTGGATGGTGAAACACAATGTGTATGTATGTGTGTTTTTGTGTATGTGAAGAGAGAGAGAGAGAGAGAGAGAGAGTGAGAGAATGAGAGAGAGAGAGCCCATGGACACACACATCATGGACACATGATAGGACTCCCCTCATTTGTGTAAATACCAACGGGAGTCCTATCATTTGTGCCAACATGGGTGAACCTGGAGAACATTATACTAAGTGAAGAAAGTTAGATATATAAAAACAATTATTTCCTGTTCTCATTTAAATGTGGAATCTAAAACAGTTAAACTTATAAAAACAAAGAGTAGAATGGTGGTTGCTAAAGGTTCCAGGGAAGAGTAAATTTGTTAAGGGGTATAATCTTTTAGTGTTATAGGATGAATAAGTTTTAGTGATCTAATGTACAACACTGACTGTAGTTAATAATACTGTATTGTATAAAAACCGGTATTGTATTAAAACTAGTAACAGAGTATAAGTACCCTTCTCACAGACCCAAAGAAGAAAATAGTAACTATATTGAAGTGATGTGATGGACATATTAGTTAGATTATGGTTATGGTCTCTTAAGGTTATGGTTAGATTGGTTATATACATAATACATATAATGTATATATTTAAATGTCATGTACATATTAAAATATTTGTCAATTATACCTGAATAAAGCTGCTTTAAAATGTGAGCATTGTGATTTAATGAATATCCTGGTCAATACCCAATGAAATTGATGAATTTCTTCTTAGCAACAAATATTTGCTGTGTGCTTGTGTTTTCCAGACAATTCCAGGATCCAGGAATTCCATGGTGCAGACCTTCAGGCTTCACACAGAGGTAGAGTAGGGAATGTCTTGACCTTCAATACGAGACTGCAGCAGATCATTGGGAACTATGCAGGAGGCTGGAGTTGAGGCAGAAAGTATACATACAGCTGGAGGTACAGAAGACATGAGATCACAACTTCTTTCTATTGTGTTGTGTTTGTTGCAGTTTTTTTTCTTATTTTGCTATCTGTACTTTCTACCATTTTGGGCATGACTGGTATCAATGCCTTTATTGCCAGTGCCATTTGCCTCTTTCTCATATTGTTACTTGATTGCTTTCTTGAGAGCCCCATCCTGTCTCCAGTGACCCATTTTCCTGGATCTGTGGAAAGTGTTATGTTCCTTTAGCCATGCTGCTTTGACCTCTCCAGGAAACATCTGCCTAAGTGTCACATATGATTTGCTACTCATGGGTATCCAGCTCCGCAAATTGAAGAGGTAGATAAAAAGGGGCATGAACTTCCTTTTAAGACCACTTTCATAAGAATGACATATGTGTGCATGTTTTCATAGATGAAAATGACCTCAAATGTAAGTCTCCATTTAGTAAACCAAGGGTTTTAGTTTCCCTACATATAATGGTATACAAACACAGTTCTCTCTGTAACCTTGTCTTGTTTTCTCTTGGAAGCAAAAGTGATCACATCCAGGATGGGTAGCTGGGTGTCCACTCTGGGGCCTTTAGGAAGTATCATCCCAAATGCTGCCCAGCGATGTATATCCACATTTCTGCACAGCTCTCCAGCCGTACAGAGGGTGCTGGGTTGTTCTCTTCCACCCTTGACTGTATTGCCACTTCCTGCGGGCAGATAATTCCTCCACTTTCTGTATTCTAATATGAATTGGAGTCAACCCAGCGTATTAGGTAAAGCATCTATTATGTATAAGATACTGTGCCAAATTCCACAGAAAAATCCAAAAAGGGTGCTGTCACTGTTTCAAAGGGATCGATAATTTTATGAAGGATAGCATTTGCATAAGTGGTGATAAGGTGAACATTTTGAGTCTTTAATTTGCGTTTCCACCGGATTCTTTCTGGAAGCCTGTTTAGTTTTACTCAGTGAATACCAATAGTTTATTTAATAATGTCTTTGCAGGGATGTCTCTTATAGCCACTCTAACTTTGCAGATCCCTGTCCATACACACTTTCTGTCCCTTTTCTTGCCAAATTTTTCTTTTTTCTTTTTTTCTTATTTTATTTTTTTAAAAATGTAGTATCTGTCTTCTCTTATAGCATGAAGTCAAGCTTTATTCATTGCTATGTACCCTAGGCCTCACTAAATATTTATTAAATGAAGGAATTAATGAATAATCATATGCATGCACTCATTCTCTCATTGAGTACCTAATATGTAATAAACATTTAGTATAAAATGATGAATAAAACTTCCTTAATTAATAAACAAAATAAAATAAAATGATCTTGCCTTCATGTAGTATATATTTGGTGGGAGAGAGCAACATTAATTAGACACATAAATATATAATTACAAACTGTATTTGTATATTCAGCCCAAATAAGTAATCAAAACCTACTGTACCAACAACTCACTTGCATTGCAACCTCTACATCATCTAAATTTGTCTCTCAATCTGCAAAGTAGAGATTTGTCATCACCAGATTTGTAAAGACAATAGAATTGAACACTTCTTGACAGTGTTTAAGAATAACAACACTGGACTGTCCTCTTCCAGTCCATCTAGTATTTGGAAGATTAATTTGACAAAGAAAATTAATATCCTATATTTATAATGGCATTTTCTTACCTGTTTAGTGTATTTGGAGGGTTCTGATCCAGATTAAATACTTAGAATGTTTGTGACTAAAGATATATCCTGAGTGACTTTTCAGAGAAGTCTTATTTCAACAAATGGAGTTCCAGAACTTGTAGTGCTATGACAGTTACCAAATTTGTCAACATTGTGACTATTTTATGCTTATTGAATTTACTGTCCTTTTAAGTAAAATATAACCCAATCTGAACTTTCAGTTTCAAAATACACATGTCTTCTCTAAGCTGTGCTTTCAGTGTTTTATTATTTTAAAGGAGACTATAACTTCATTAGAGATTTGAGTTTCAGTGGCAGATAACGATATTAGTTTTGTGGAACAGTATGTCAGTCAGCAATTGCTCACAGTTTTCCTACACACATTTGCCAAGGGATCTAAAAATATTTGTTTAAAGTTCCAACCATGATTAACTTCAATATGGTAATGTTGCTCCTTTATGTTCAGTCACTACAATAAGCAATCCTCCAAGTTGTAGTTGGTAAATAAAGTTGTCGTTTATATTGACCATAATAACTAAACTATCACTGCCCACAGGCCCTCTTCCTTTCCCCAAATTTTAGGATTCAGAATTAACATAGCACATTTTTAAAGAGATCTAAACACATACCAGCTGCAGTCTTTTAAAGTCTCCTATCATTTTGTTAGCACAATGCCTGCCTACGTGAGCAAAAACATGGGAACTGCATCTGAATGCCGCTGACAAGATTTTTTATTTTCATGATTATTTCTCTGCCTTTTTTTATTTTGCCTGCAGGCAAAGGTTGGCATACATGTCAAGAGAATGTTTTCCAGCTGGGGCCTGCAGTACAGAGAATTGTATATACCAGAGGGCTCCTGGGACTCTAGGCAGATTATTATGGTAATATTGGAGGCTGTTGTCCTCTCCCTCCCACAGCTGGGCCGCCTCTCTCATTGTAAGTATTGAAGCAATATGTTTTGCAAATTATACGTTGGGAACAACAGGGACCCAGTAAAGTGAGGAAAAAGAAAAACATTGCAAAACGTTGCCTTTAATATTATATTTTTCTTGTTCACCAAGCAAAATAAATTAAAGCTTTAATTTTTTAAAATTAAATGAGGATCATATATTGAAAAAAAAGCTATAAGAGTAAAAACTTAATACTGATTATACTGAGTGAGAATTTTAAGAAAATATCGTTACAGAGAAATTAGACAGTAGCCTGATTCAAGAGAATCATGGTAAGATTACATAATAGCCTTTATTATGGATTTCAAAAATCCTTTTGAGTCCAATGAAGCTGGGTTAGCAAAAACTGCACAAAAAATATCATTTTAATTAGTGCTAATGTGATCTCGTCATGGTCCAGCTGTTTCACACAGGATGAAAGCGCATGTTACTTTATTAGTAATGCATCTTAGAAAAAATGTCACTTATGATTTCAAACATTTGTTATTAAAGTGCATTTTAATATAATGGTAGAATGACATGATTGATTCAGTCAAATACGGCACTAGTGAAATTCAGGCAAAAAAGCCTTAAGTCTTCTTAGTTGAGGAAGAAATGTTTTCCTTCTGTCTGGTCTTCCTTTCTGGAAATATTAATAACAAAACAAGAATTATATTTCTACTGTGGATTTTGAAGACATATGTAAGAGAGAGTTAAACTGTGAGTAATTCACAAGTCAGTCAGCACTTTCCCCTTAGAGAACACAAAGTTTCCTCCAAAATGTAAAGTTGTAAGCTAATTTCAGTAAATGCTGGGCTGTTTCAGTTTTCAATAATGAATTTAAATTTATTCATCAGCAAACATTTCCATAGATCTCTCCAAAGAGTCTTCAACTCATTCTTTTTAGATTCAGCTTTCATTATTTCAGCCAATTTTTACCTCATCTAGATATGAAATCCAGCATCCTTAGAAAGAGAGTTATGTTCTAATTTAAAAATTTAGGGATGAAGCTTAAATTTGTCCCTGAATTTTTTTATTTGGCCTAGCCAGATTGTGCCTTCTCACATGAGAAATAATATTAAGGACAGTACATTTATTTGTAATATGTCTTCTATTCTTTTTCTACACACCTATAAAAATAGCTCACCATGAACGATCCTGGGCCAGACTAATATATTTATCTACTCTATTTATTTGATATCATGCTAATATATTTTAGCTTGCTATTGATAAGCATGTTCACATACAATTTACTCCCCTTCAGCTAGATATTCATTTAGGAGGAATTTAGTAAATAAAAGACTGGTAGGAAGTGATGCTCAGCATAAATGCCAGCCTCTATGATCTTTTGTTGAATTATAGCTATCATTTGGAAGAGGTAGTAGAGAGGAGGGAAAAAGCAAGCAGTTCTCTATTGTTTTTCAACCTTGTTTCTCATTATTCCAATCACTGTCTCAGTGTTTAGTCAAAAAGAATACAAGTACTCAGTTGATTGATGCGATCAGGGAGTACATGTCCATATCAAGATTCCACTGTGATGTAAGACAGCTCTGTTTTACTGTACTTTTAATTTTTCTTGTCACATAGACTCGAGCAAGTTTATGCCTTTGAAAGTCCGAGAGGCTGAACAAAAGGCAACTTTTATTTTATAAAATAAGCATTTCCTCAAAGATTCTTTCCTTGGGTGTCACATAGCCTTTGTTGACAAAACAATTTTCTAACAAAAATATTTAAAATGTTAAGTAACAAATCATTTTGAATAGCAGTTTTTAAAAAGCTGCATTATTTTTCTACACATGCTGTCACACTACAGAATGCAGTGGCAAATGAAGTTTTCTTGAGATTTTGTTGGGAAGAGAATGCCGGCACCCAGAAACTGTGAGAAAGGACTGAGACTTATTGCTCTATTTCTTTGATTCTACTGATCATGTATTGCAAGTCCATGGTGTACTTCACTGATCACCAATAGGAGAAATAAAAATATTCCACATTAGATATACTTCTCTTATTTTTACTTTGAATTTTTACTAATTTTGAAGCATGTTTGGGTGATTTTTTTCCAAAATATAAGTATCTTTCTGTTTGGCCGTACACTGCTCTATAACTACTAGGAGCAAAGCCAAAGAAAATAAAGATCAGCAATTGCTATGGGATATATATTATTTTTCTCTTTTCTCACTATAGATTTCCATCACACAAAGACAGAAATTCCATCAGGCCAAGATACCATCCAGAACTTAGATGGAACTGAAGAGTGTCATTGAAGTGCTATACTATATAAATGGCCTGGTAGCTTGTTTGGCCACTGAGAGAACACATGGTGGTTTTCAGGAATCACTTTGGGGAATACTCATGAAATTCAATGTATTCTAATTGTATTTATAATATGCCTACTATCTTCAAAGTGTGGGCTAGTTTCAGATGAAATTAAACAGAATTTGTACCTAGAAGAGCTTACTATGTGTTAGGGAGACAAATATTCATAAAAGGATAAAGTATAGGTTAAAAATTGTCAGATTCTGATGTTAGGCATCAAGGGCTGCAGGAGATCTGGTGGGCAGACATCTGGCTATGTTTCAAGTGAAAGAGCTGGATAGAAACATCAACTTCTGGGGGATTTTGAATGATACCATTCAAGGAGCTGTAGTGGGAATATATAAGTACATTTTTGTGGAGGCTTTCTCAGCATTAAATGAAGAATTTCCATTCACTTGGTAGTGTAGAGCACAACTTAGGATACATTTTAGTAGGCACATACTCCCAAAACATCCATTCTGTAGAAATACTGAAACAAGTACAGCTAGACTGAAGGCTGATTTTCCAGGCCTATGAAACTAAGTCACTTGTACTGACTGACGCTCTTGCTAATACTGAGACGGGGTGGGGTGGGGGAAGAACAATATTCAAAGTGCATTTTTCTGAATCAGACTTACTAAAAGCAAATTTTTGAATTCCTCCATAGATTGTGAGTAGAGCTCAATAATTTGCATTTTTAATACTATCCATGGTGATATTTATGAGCAGTAAATTTGAATCCTAACAGTAAAAATTTTCACAATGCAAACAAGTTTTGCATTTATTTGAGAGAAAACTGAATTGACCATCAGGCAATCAAATGTAGAAATACAGTAATATATCATTTCATGAATGTGTCTGTTGGCAAACAATTCTGTTCATAAACAGAAGCCTTTGACAAAATTTTGCTTCTATTTCTGAACTTTGTGTTGGGTGACAAACACTACCATGGCCATCTGCTCCACACAAACACAAATGAAATTAGGTTCCCCAAAATTGTAAGAAAAATTAAGTATATAAACAAAGGTACCAGGATATCACATAAGCATCTATGAGATTCAGGCTAACATATTCCCAGCATCAGTTAATGCCAGGTGCAGTACCATATCTTTAAAATTTATTATTATTATTATTATTATTTGTACCGGGGATCAAACTTGAGACCTTGAACTTGTGAGGCAGGTGATGGCACCACTGAGCTAAATCCCAGGCCCTTTATTGGTCCTTTTAAGTCCTATAATACTGTTATAGGGGTAGGTACTTTATTTTACAATCTTATAACCTCAACAGGTTTACAACTGTGACATCACCCAGGATGAAAATTAAGTGACATAGTTGAGATTCAGCTGCTATATCCCAGCTAAGGCCAATGCCCTTGTTGGTTTCTCTCTGCTGCCTGGTTTCTCTCCAGCTTCCTTACTAAACAGCTGTATGGCCTTAGAGAATCAATAATATAAGTTCTCTTTGTCAATAATATATGGAGTATCTATTTAGGTGGAAAAAGTCTACCAGTGCCAACATTGCACAATATACTAAAATCTCTTTGTTTGAATTGGCCCTGCCAGTGTTAGTACAGTCAAGTAAAGGCTGAGTGAGAATGTCCCAACAGATAAATGTAGAGAATGTTAACTCCACATTAAAGTCATGGCAACTGAACATATATTGCTCATGAAACGAAGGAAAAAGATATGGATGAAGGGGGAGATGAAGGGGGAGATAATAGAGGGGAAGAGCACATAAAAAATTAAGATGTGTTATGTATTATGTGCCAATCCCCTGCGTTGAATGTAATCACTATGTACTACAAACATGTACTACTAAAAAAACCCAAAAAACCAAAAAAACAAACAAACAAAAAAACCTTTAAAATCATTCCAAAACTCAGAAGAGTTTTTTTGTTTTGTTTTGTTTTTTAAAGAAGCTATAGAAAACAGTAAGGGCAGCATAAGGGTCATAGTAAGATATGCGTATAAGGGAGGATGTCAGTACTGCCTGTCCAGCCCTTCTGTCCCCCTCCACTGAAGCATTAGTTTGCAATACAGCACTGTGAATGGGGACAGAGGCTATGAAGTCAGAGTACTTGCTCTAAACCTGCCTTCTGTCACTAACATGTAACTTGCCTATATTTTCTGAGTCTTGGATTCCCTGTCAGTAAAATGGGAATAAAGTTAGACTCATCCTTAAGAGATTTTTGTGAAGATTAAATCAGGGACCTGGGTAAAACTTTTGTGTCTGGGGATTGGTCTGAATCCACTATGGAGCCTTTTCAAATCACATAGCTTTAATCACCCTGACCCCTAGCAATTCTGATATCTCCTTCTCTCCTCATAGAATGATGGTGTGTGTGTGTGTGTGTGTGTGTGTGTGTGTGTGTGTGTGTGTGTGTATTTAACATAGCTATTTTCAATTGTTCCATAAATTCTTGAAAGATAATGAAGGAATCTAAAAGTTTTCTGAGTGAATTTAGACATATAATTGAATTTTCCTGTGTCAGAGACTTTTATTCAAGAAGAATGAATAGTAGATGATATTAATACTTAGCATTATATTTTGAAATTGGCAACTATAACATTTAATATATTTAGATTGTTTTTTCTGTGACTACTATGTTAAGAGACAGAAGTTTTATTCTTTCACATTCGTGGCAATTCTGAGTATAGTTATCATGTGATTAAATAAAAAAAATTTTCTAACTGCTTCAGAATTTCTTTTTTATATGTGCTCTACGAAAAGGTTTCTTGAGGGACTTTTATTTGCTGATTCTTTATCAATTTTATTTCTGTATGTATTATGTGGTATTACTACTATTATTATTGTTTATCTCTATATCACTACTGAAGACAGGATTACATTTTCCTTTGCTGGGTTTTCTTTTTTTGTCTAGCATGAGGAACATCAAAATTTAAATATTTACAGTAGGAATCATTTTAAGATGTATTTTTCTTTTCCTCCTAACCACTTCTAACAGGAGACATTATAACAGAACAATATGAGAAAGTTAAGATAATATTTGTCTTTATTGGTGTTTTCATGCTGTTTTCTAGTTGATTTATCTCATTATTTAATGCCAAAATGTGAGACCTGATAAAATAATAATGCAAAATGCTGTATGCTTGCTTGGTTTTTATTGTATCAATTTGTATTGAAAAAACATAAAATATTTAAAAAATAATAATGCAAAAATTAATTAGGTCTGATGAACACTGTGGAGTTCATCTTGACAGTCCTTGAATAACTGTGCTTGCCTTCTGAGGAGGGTGCACCATAGATTTGGAAGAGAGGACTTGGTTGAAGAAAGACTAAAATATCAACAGTCGCTTCTGGTCCCCAAGTGTTTTAATTTTTTTAAAAACCCCACAGAGGCTTTAGGGTTGTCCAAATTGTTGTTAGTAAGCAAGGATTGATCTATGAATACTTTTTGCACACAACTTACTGTTTTTCACCTGCATTATCTAGTATAACCCTTTCCCCAACTCTGAAGTTGATACTAAACCTTAAGACAACTATGACCCCGTCTCTAATTAACCACACAGCAAAGCCAAGGTCCGAATTCTGAGATGTCTCTTCTAACTATGCTAACTGAGTGTTATCTAAAATTCTCCTATCAACCCTGCAAACTGATATCACTATGTTTATTTAGAGACCATCAGATGGAACCTTGCCCAACCCCACATTGTGATATGTCAGATCCCAGGATCTGCACTAAAACTCCGTGCTTCCTCCATGACCTTTCCACTATCTCCCCACAACCCTCGCGTGTATCACTCATGTTTAATTCTCTAACCAGCCATTTTGTACCAACATTTCTCAAATCACCGGTAAGAGTTACTAAAGGCATTTGAGAGGGCTTTTATCTTTTCATATGGGTTAAAAGGGAACCAGACTTTGGATCTTTTGAAAATCGATTTGTGCTGATTAAAATGCTAAAGAAGTTCTTTCAAAGATCTTCAGAGTAAAGCATATTAGTGAGCGTTTGTGATGGTACATTATCTCTGCTAAGGCAAAAGAAATAGACTTAAGCTGTGAAAGGAGAATGCAAATTAGTAATTACCACCATTTATCCTGCTTCTGCAGGGTACAGGCTAGGGACAATGGAAGGATAAATGAGGAATGTAAGATAAAATTCTTGTCTTTGCAGTATTTATAATCCAGCTGGGTAGACTGAATCTACATGCCTGTTCACTGCATGTGTCCTGCACCACAAGAGAAATTCTGGTTGATTTGAGCACTTTATATTTGCCATCTCCCTGGTGCAGTTCTAGCTCTATGATTGTACCAAACATGTAGAATTAGAGAATCACCAGAAAACACTTCTGCCTCCAGCCAATAAACAAAAGGTGATCAAAATATATGGTGAATGTTTAAATAAAAAGTATCACAGTAAAACAACTATTAACCATTAGTTCCCCTGAAAACACTTTCTCACTTTGGTGCCATCCAATGGATGAGCAGACTTGTAAAAATATCATGGAAGAAAAGGTCCAAAGGGGAAAGGGAATTGGGAGATGTAGGGGAAAGGAAAGGAATAAATATGAGAAAAGGAAAAAACAGAAAGTTTTTGTAAACAGGGAGGGGGGAGGGGTTGTTGTTACTAAGCAAAGATTAATCAGTGAAGGGGGAAAGGGGGAAAAATAAAAACCAAGATATATCATGTAAAGGTTCAAATTCCCAATGATGAATGTCCTCATACTGTATACATAAAATGTACTGATAATCTTAATGAAAAAAATCACAGTGTGAACTTATCCATCTTATTCACCACATCTGGCACTGTGTGACTTCTGACTCTTCCCCAAAGTCAAAATGGCCATGAAAAGTAAACATTTTGAATTATTTCAGGACATTGAGGCAGCTCTCACAGTGCAACTAAAGATACTCAGGAAAGAGGACTTATAGAACTGCATCAGAAAGTGGCAAGAATGATAGGTTAAATGTGTTTGAAGCAAGGGAAGGATTCTGAAGGGAATTAATGGCAGTGTATTTTTTCTATAATAAATTTAAAAGCATAAGCATTTAGTGTGGTTTTTGATCATGCCTCACAGAGTGACAAGCATCAGATTTACCCTCCTAGCTGAAGCCAAATGAACCAGATAAATTATTTGAAACCGCAAAGGTCAGTGATTCCTGAGAGACAAAACTGTCATGAAGCAAGCTCTATGATTATTCCAGTG